TAGACTTCTTTAGGAATCTCTGGCTTCAGATGGGCCTCTTTTTAATCAGTTCATGTCACTGTGTTTCAGGATGGCACACTATTCTTCCTTCAAGTGTATGTCTGCAGTTGTCCTGGACAATGACTGAACATAATGGAATTCAAAACACTGGGAAAAAAGCCACAAACTTACAAGTCTTGGAATCCACTGAAAGAGGTGGCTGAAGTGAAGACATCAAGCAACCCAATGACCTGCAGGACAAGTGAGGTCAACATGTAAGCCTAGAAAACACACATATAGGAGGACAGGCATCCTCTGTATCAGACCTCAGTTCAAGAGTCGCATGTCAGTGACAGTTCAGGATTCCAAGTGAGGAATTTAGAAATTCTTTAATAAGTCTTAGGGTTGATTCCCTTCTTGCATGCATCTTAAGGAGCCCATTGCAAGTCCAACCCCATTGCAGGAGCAGTGCTTGGGTGGCAAGAACTCTAGACTGAACAACCACAGCAAATGCATGGTGCTCCAGATTCAAAAGAGGATGCTCTCACAGGTGAGCTTGATGCCCATTAGCAGGAAAACCTCGCCTTGCTCCAGCTTTTGGAGCACTGTTGAGGTTTTTCTTCTTGGCGTCACTCTTCGTCTTTGGGCAAAGCAATGATTCAAATGTTGAGAACCTGGGGAGCTGCTCCTTGAGGTCCCCTTTCTGGGTAAGTGCAGAGCAGTGGGTACTCACATTCTCGTGTTGCATGTGTTTCAGCAGCATGAGCTCTCTGTATGCTCTCTTGGCAAAGATCTCAGACTGGAATGGGCGGTTCAGCTTCTTGATGGCCACTTTCTCGCCTGTTTTCTTATCTATGGCTGAACTGTGGCAAACATAGAAATGGTTCTAACTCACAGGTTCCAATATACTCTGCAATGTCAAGTCACCTAACAGGGAGGCATGGATTTTGGAAGCTGGAGCTGATAACTCCACTGTGTACACAAATGTGCAGCTGGGCCTGCATATGCTAGCACTGTACTTCAGCTCTTTCCGCAGCATTGTTAGCAGAAACAGGCCTTAACTTTCTAATTTGTAACACAGAGACACTGATAACACCTGCCTACCTCAAGGCTGGATGAAGGCAGAGCAGGGTGTCAGCTTAAAGACTAACTGGTTCAGAGATGCATAAGGTAGGTCATCTATGAAAGCTCGCATCTCTCTGAACCAGTTAGTCCCTAAGGTGCCACCCTGCCCTGCCTTCTACCTAACTTAAGACTAATGTGGCTAACTACCTCTCTACTTAAGGTGGGATAAGAGTAACTATAAAAGAACTTATCTGGGATGTGGTGGGTATTCCTTCACTTTAAGTGGGACCAGGCCACTTTTCTAAGTGGTGTTCTCTACTGCAAACCAAAGTTACAGACTTGATGCAGCTGTTACTGTATGGCAGTATCTGGCCTTAATCTATGAATTAATGTTTGTAAAGTGTTCGGAACAGGAAAAGTGTTATGTTTTAGGTGTTTAGAACTGGGGAGAAACACACTTTTGAAGGAAGTGAATAGTATTTAGCACTCAAGTCCTTTTGCTGTTCAAAGCACTTTCTAAATGTCAGCATACCTATCAGGAAGGAATTGTCTCTGGTTTAAAGATATAGCCATGGAAGCAGCAAGGGACAGAAAGAGAGGTGTTATCACAACCAGGATTAGAACACTGGAGTTCCAGGATTTGCTCCCAAGCTTTGAAGATAACAAGCCCCCAAGTCACAGCCCCCCCCAGCAGTGCCTGAGCCCCAAATATCACCCACAGGAGGTGGCAGCTGCTGCAGCTGAAGCTAAGTGCAGAGCCCGGCTTCCCCCCTGTCCCTCCGTCCCTTCCTTCACGGGCAGCACTGTCAGAGCAGAGCCCATGGTGGGAGTGGGATGCAGGCTGCCCGCTGCAGGCTTGGAGCTCCCCACCCTGATGCCTTGCCCCCGGGGGCTCCATGGGCCAGTGGGAAGGACCTGGCTTGGGAGGGAGGGAGCACCACGCTGCCATGGCTGCCAAGCTGAGGCACCCCCTGCTCGCCCAGCAGCAGCATGGGCACAACTCCACACTGGTGCCATGCCTCACCATGGTGGCCATGCTGGTGCAGCACTCCCTCCCACAGTGGGTCCCACCTGCTGGGCCGCAGAGGCGGCTCCTGCCCAGAGCTGGTCCGGCCCAGGTTCAGCCCCACACCCTGCTACGGGCGCAGAACTCTCGGGGCACATTTATTGCGGCCTCATCTGCCGATGTAGTGATCCCACTTGCGGTTGCGACCCACGGTTTGGGAACCAGTGTGTTAAGGTGACACTCCCACTCCTTTTTGAAGTTCTTTGGCAGAATTGCCAAGAAGTTGGGCATTAGATTTAACTGGCAAGTGGACAGAGGGAAAAAGCCACCAGGCTTCTTTCAGAGATTGCTGTAATTGTTTGGATTCTTCCCAGGATTTCTCAAGATACAGGACCTTGCAGAGGAGTCTCTCTACTGAGCATCATGAGGCAGTTCAGCTAAGCTAGCCCACTCTTGACCTCTGGGAAAGGTTACCTGTATGTTAAGGCTGACAGCTTCCAGCTGCTAACTGAAGGGAGCGGTGGGAAGGGCTTTCTGGAGCAAACCTCTGTGTTGGGTTGACACTCCCCGCTGCTTTGGAATTCCTTATCTCAGCTTGTGAGAAACTTGGAGGTTGTAAATCAATACAGATTTTCTGCTGTGGCTGCTAATGGAGCAGCCCATGGGAAGCTTAATGTTATCACTCCGCACATTTCATCCCAAAGCCAGTTTCTGTCTATGAACAGAGCCCCCCTATTCTTGCATCATTTCTTGAAGAGAAGGATGATTTCCCCAACGCTCCCATTTGCTCACTCTAATGGGTTCCAGCCCTGGTTCTTTCTTTTGCATCTGTAGTAGATCCAGAATTTGGATCTACAACAGATGCTGTGGAAATCAGCTGGGAGTATAAAATGCAGTAATTGCTCTATAACTAATGGTTCAGACAAACAGTATTTTTCCAGGATTTTGGCAGACTTGCAAAGCAGTCGGTCGGATTTGCAATCAGGCTGCTAATGTCTGGGGCCGGCTCTTGATGCATCTGCTAATTTTAAATGGCTCTCAGTCATGATATGTTCTGACTTCTTTGGGAAGCAAGAGTGATAAAAGAAGATGCCCTGGTGGCAACAGGCAAATAGCAACACTTCTTAAGAACACGGGCAATCAGGAAAAAGACAGGGTTATGTTGAGTTTATGGATGTGTGTGTGGCTTTCTTCTGTGCCTGTCTCCTCCATCCAGTGGTGGCTTTCACTACAGAAGAGGTACCTGCAAAGGTATTTAGGACCTTTAAAGATGTAGTCCAGCGTTGCATAAGTCCCTCTAAATGCCTATCAGCACATTTGGGTGCCTCAATATTATTGTAAATCTGGATCTAAATCTTTCTCATCAGACAAATACATGAATAGTGGTTGGAGACTGAAGTTAGCAGTAGGTGCATTTTTTTTATATAGAAAGGAAGCTGAGATGTAAGACTTCAAGCTGACTTTGCTAGACAGTCCAAATATATCATCTAGCTGCAGAGGCAAAAGCAGCCGTAACTGGGAAGAAACTGAACAAAAATTGTCTTTAAAAATGCTGTACCTGGAGAGTTAGATGACATCTTTGGCTGGTTTTACTGATGTTTGATAATTGGGAGCACTGGAATTTCTAGGTCAGTATCACTTCCCATTTGTTTTACCTTGGAAAGGAGCTTGTCAAATTTATCTTCATTTTGATGTAAAGATCTGTTGCATCAAAGCTCTGTTATGCCCCTTAACTTGCTTGTTAACCACAAGTAGGTCAGACTTATCTGGTTTGGACTTGAGAGCGCTACTTTGTCTTGCACACATATATTCAGTGATATAACAACTCTGTTCTGTAAAGCAAAGCAGGGAGGGAATATTTACAGACCCTCTGGCTTCTTGCTAAGCGCCCTAGACACTTAGCTGTTTGGGCATAAGATGCTGGGGGTCTTTGTCCTGCTAGTGATGGGGTTTAGTCAACTCCATTTTTGGGCCCTGTCACAACCCAAACCCATACATTCGCAGAACCATACCCTTAGAGGGTAGCTTAATCAACCTTTTGCTGTGTTTCATCCAAGATGCAGCTGGGCTTTGTAAACCAAAGGAAGGCCTTTCTGACATTGCAAGTACCATCAGCAAAAATGTGTTGCATTTCTCCATTGTCTGTTTCCTGTGCAATCAGACTTGTGAAACTTTGAATGATTGGTGCGTTACATGAGTGTCGGTCCTCGCCCTATGCATGCTGTATCAGATATGTTCAATGGTTTAGTCTGTGAGCAGTGCATTTTTGGAACAAAATTAGACTTTCACTCACGCTACCTTGTATTTGTTGTCTATACTTTATCTAGTCAGTCTCTAATAGAACTGCTGTCACTGAATTGAAAGGGTGTCCCGCAGAATCTTTCGGCCTATATGGCTGGGTCCAGATGAGCACAGTGTGTGCAGTGCTGGTGGGGGGCGAGTGCAATGGGGTGACCGTCCTGGGTGCCAAAGCAAAGGGTTGCTAACAGGCGCTGCCCAGCTTGAGCAGGGTGCCAGACAGAGCCTCAAGCAGCACATTTGGGGGGGGCATGGGGACAGGGGAAGGGTGGCTCCCACCGCTGCATGTACTCCCAGGCAAGCATGGGGGGGCATGTGTCCCCCGGAGCTGTGCACAAGGCAAGGGCGGGCTGCCACTGTGGGCTTTGTCCTGGGCACCAAACTTCATTGCTACGGCGCCGAGTATGTGGCGCCACACACCACACATGCAGAAGCACAAGGGTTTTTTTGTGATCCTGAGGTAAAAAAAAACACACTGAAAAAAAGTGGGGCAGCGCATGTGGCGGCAGTGCGTGCTGCCCAAAACCAGAGCCTAACTGCCTGGAGCCACACTCCAGCGACCAGCCAGGCTTCCTGCCATGGCTGCAGCCCCAGGAGGCCCCCAGGACCCCAAATAAGACTGCTGGGGCCAGCACGTTTGCTGGCCCCAGCCTCCCTTACCCCACCTGAGGGAACCTGCCGCATGCCAGAGCACGTGTGGCATGGGCATTCCCTGGGGACAAGCAGCAGCGGCACAAGGTCCTCAGGGAAACAAACATCCACGCTCGCCTGGACGCACCCCATGGTTTTATATGGACCCTTTCCGTTCTTTTCCGTCTCATTACAGTTCATTTAATTGGCTTGAATACAAGTATCAGCACCTCCAGAAAGTTCTTGGTCAGCTCGGCTTACAAGATGGTTCTGCTCGAGTGTCAAAACGGCATGGCTTTTACGGAAGCTGAGCTTTTTCATGAGAGTCACCAACTCATCGCATTTCCAAACACTTAATACTTGCAGAACAGAATCGTACATACATCTGAGCAAGAATCACCCACTCTAAGGTGCTCTTGGCGAAGAAATTATTCCATTGCAGTTTAGCATTTAATGGAGTGAGGCAAAACATTGTTACTATCCAATACTCATTTATGCAGCAGAACCTGTCTCTTTCACATGAACGAGTTTCATGTTCAGGAATTAATGTCTCTTAAGATAGCACCAATTCAGGCATTGAGAGTGCAAGCTCATCATTTGACGGCAGAATTTTGATTCAATTGCAGATGGAGTGAAGGTAAAAAGCAGGGTGAAATAAATAAATGAGCTGGAATCAGTACTGAAGAGGGGATGACGGGAGAAAACCCTCTTGTGATGATGAAAGGTAAGCCTTGCCTACTACTTCTAGTCAGACTCCAGCAGATGTCTTTTGTGGAGCTGCTACTCTGGGGGAGTAAGAAGGATAAGGGAGGACTGAATGGATCACATATTTAAATATTTCCCAAGGCTACTTTCTTATTCTTAGAGTTAATTTGTCCTTCGTGCAGTAGCTTCTGCCCTGTGAAACAGGTAGTTAACCCCTCTGTCCACAAACCTGTCAACATGGGAAAGTCTTTCTGATATAATTTTGGGATTTTCTGTATTACGTTCACACTTGACTTCAGGTTGTATTTAGTGTTCAATCAGTTGAAATGAATGGGGTGGGAACCAGTTAGCCAGATAACCAGTGTGAACTATAGCTTCTGGTGCATCTGGTGTTGGGTATGTCAGACAGCTTTCTTTGCTGCGTTCTTTCAAACAAAGGTGGTGCAGATTTCAAGGTCTAGAAGGAGGGAGCAAAAGTGATCCCTACGAGACCTATCGCTGCTGGGATGACTATGTTTATTTGTCAAGAGTCCCAATACCAAGTTCTAATAAATTGCTCCATTTTTTTTTCCATTTTAAACACCTGGAAGAACACAGAGAAGCTATTCCAAGAGCACTGTACATCAATACTGTAGAAAGAAACATCCCAGTGGTTCCCAGCAGAGGACAGCAAATCCTAACTCCCTACTTTTCCATTCATGCTTCCCCCAGGAATTGAACACCAACATTGAGCCTATAGTATACAGCATTCATTGAACAGGTAATAGTGATACCACTTGACTTACTCACCTGTATCTAGCTCCCTTTTCTGGGAATTTCTAGTCGCTGAGAGCCTTTCTTTAAAAGGGACCAGCATAGTATTTCTTTCATTTGTGTTTTGATTTCTTTGTGACGTGTAAGGAACCCTCCAAAAGATGTATCCCTCTCTCCTTCCCTCTCCCATCCCCTCTATCTTCAAAACCTTCACAAAGATCCAAAATGTCAAGCCAGGCCTTTCCTGTCTAGCTAGACATCTCCTTAGCATGTCTTGGAGATATACAATTTCTAATATGAGAAATGAGGAGCAGAAGCAGCCCTTCCAGTGTATCTTTACATGCCATAAAGAAGTGAACACCAATGCGCAACCTCATATCCAGTGGCCCTGGGATGCGAAGCAAGGGTGTTTCATAATCCTTGTTCTGACAATTGAGGAACATTGCTGCAGAATACCTAGAACAGGGAATACTTCTCTTCCCTTCATGGCATGGGACACAGGATAAAGTTTACATCCGCATGGAAATCAGTGGAGTTGTTTTAGATTTACAGCAGCGTAACTGAGCAGAATGCAACCGTACACATTCACATGTGTCACGGCTGCCTTTGTTCAGCCAGTTTGACGAATAGTGACTGAAGTGCTCTTCGTCCGGTCTTATTCATTCAGTCTGAGAACTCATCATCAATAGATTCCAGGGTGTCACTGATGAGGGATTGCATTAACATTACATAACGTAGCTTGCTAGATATTAAATTAGCATAGAAATGTTGAGCTGGAAGGGACTTCAAGAAGTTTTCTTATTTCAACCTCTGGTCTGAGGCAGGATCAAGTGTCCCCAGACCAGGGGCAGGCAATTATTTCAGGTGGAGGGCCGCTTACTGAGTTTTGGCAAGCCATCGAGGGCCACTTGACAAGCAGCCAGAGGCAGATAAATATTAATTTTCTAAATTTTTTAGGGGCTCCACAGGCTGGAAAGTATGGCCTGGCGGGCTGCATCTGGCCCACATTTTGCCCACCTCTGCCCTAAACCATGCTGAATAGATGTTTGTCCTAATCTTGAAGACCTCCAGTGAAGGGGATTCCACCACCTCTCCAGGTCACCTGTCCCAATGCTTAATTATCCTTACGGTTAGAAACTTTTCCTAATGTCCAACTTAACCCTTCTGTGTTGCATTATCAGGAGAGGCCCTTTCCCGTTGGGGAATGAGAGACAGTCTGTGCAAGTCTCCAAATCCTTTTTGGGAAAAGAGTATCACTGCTGGAAACAGACTTTTGCCTTCTGGCACTATTAGCCCTGCCTCACTTGTATCCTGGTCACTGTTAAGAGAAGGGAAAGAGAGGGGCTGAACAAGTCAAGTCAAACCTACAGGATGAGACTCTATTCCCTGTCATCTGGGGTAGCCCCAGCAGAAAGTGTACGGATTGTGTAACAGGGAGGCCCAGCTCTTTAGGCAGTAAATGCCCTAACATGCAAACTAACAGCTGCTCAACCTGGAAGTGAAAGAAGTTACAACAGTCGTCTTCTTCGCCTAACTTGCAGACGTATTTCACAATGGTGGAGCACAAGGAGGCACCTCCATTGTTTTCTTCCCACGAGCCCATGCTTTAAGCTCTGACCACCCCATTCTTTCCCTCCCACTTGCCAGGACCCTTGGACAAAGGAAAAACGAGACCCACTCACCAGACAGAGCCATAAGCCCCAGATCCCACGGGGATGATGGACGTGTATCTTCTGGGCAGCTCCCAGACAGTTTTGTTTACTTCCTGTCTGTAGAACCCTTTTCTCCTTGACATGTTCATGGTCTCCTGGGTCCTGGAGTGACGTGCCCCCAGGGCACAGGACTACACTGATGCTTCTGGGGGGGGACGAGGGGGAGGCGAAGTTCCCTAATTGTTCCTTTTGCCTGGGAGGACAGTCCTGGACAGTTTCCTTCTCGAGTTTCAACTGCCCTGTGCAGGATGGGATATGTCCCTCCTCTCTCCGCCCCCACATCAGCCCAGTGACGAGGCATCAGGTTTCACAGACACACCTCTACCTCGTACAGGTACTTGTGGGACCTCTCTACAGGAGGGAGGAGCACAGTGCTCCAGGCTGGACACACCTCTGTCTCATAAGGCACTTCCGAGGCCTCTCCTGTCCAGGGAGTTGAGCAGCAGCTGGCAGGTGCCTGCAAAATGTGGAACCGGAAGCTGCTATTCACACTGGGGATCTCTGGATTCCTGAAACCTTCCCCCTTGTCCACAAGTGCACTCTCCCTTCATTTAAAATTTCCTTTATGTTGTTACATCAGGTCCTGTAAAAATCAAGATTCTTCCAGAGGTGGATGAGGATTGTGTTGTGGACACCAAAAAATCTGGGGTCCAGTTCAAGCTTGGCCACTGACTCTCTGTATGACCCCAACCAAATCACTTCTCTCCCTGTCTGTGCTTCCCCACCTCTATTAACTATATATATATATATAATGACCTACCATAGAGGGTGTTAATGAGGCCCACTCTATTTGTAATGTGCAACGTGAGCCTCGAATAAAAGGAACCTTAGGCCATAATGCTCTTGTGTCTGTCTGCCCTCAGCACAGTCATTGCTTGAACAGGTCAATTAATATTTGCATGTTTTTGGTCACTCCAGCTGAGAAGTAGAGGCCAGATTAGGACCGAAGTTTATACCAAAAGCTGCCCGCTTTCCCTGCACTAGGTCCTGCATGAAGGGAGGGAGTTCAGGTCACATTTTTTTTCTGACTGGAGAGAGGGAAAGTTTTGAATTCCTAATCCTGCAGATACTGGGGCATCTGATTCACCCAGCCTAAAAAGCCAGGTATCTTCAGCATCTTTCCAGTCCCAGGGTTTAATTTTAGCTTTCCTAATGAAGTAGATGCACAGAGACTGAGAGCTGCTTTTTTTGTGCTTGGCTAGACAGAGGGAGAAGGAGGAAAATACAGTTTTCTACATAATACAAACATTTGTCAGAACAGACTTGTGCAAAGGATAAGTTGAAACAGGAGTATCCCAGGGGCAGAAACAGTGGTGTGTAATCATCATGTTACAAATGCTGCAGGAGCTCCCTTCAAATATTGATTGGAGACCTAGTTACTGAGCGAGACTGTACAACTGGGAGAGGGGTAGTCAAATATTTAATAGATGCCGTAATGCTTGAATTCACCACAAGCTGAGGACAGGGAACTCAGCTAATCAAAAGCATGACTCCTCTGATAGCAACACCTAGAAGGATGCTTGAAACAAAACACAACCAACCAGTGCGAGTAGCCATTAGCTTCAGAGATCCTGCCTGCTGTTGTAAACTTCAGTTTGGCATGGCAGGATGCAGAGACAAAAAGACAACTAGAGTTAAAAAGCCTTTCTGGAGTCTGGGAGGGGACAGAGGGACTCGCTAATCAGCAGCCAAGTGGCCAAGATGAAGCAGACTGCGGGGAGAATCGGAAGGACTTGGCCCTTCCACATCTAGAGGACGGGCACAATCCTCAAAGGTGATTATGAGGCATCATTGATTTTGAGATCTGCACTCTGAAACACTTTGTTGTAAATCAATACTTTGCTCCAAGGAAGCTGTTTGAGCAGTACCGGCACTTCCCCAGTAAGAAAAGACCTGCAGGGACCAGCCCACACCAGAGCAGCCAGGATGATCACAGCTGACACCAGGGGACGGTTCTGTAGTACACGAAGAAATGCCTGAAGTCTCAAGACCTTGGAGAGAAGACCAGTGAGGCAGTTAAGTCTGGGGGGCTGCGGCAATACCTAATGGATTAGTGAGCTATGGTCATTGTTCTGGTAAGCTCCTGGGCCCAGGCTGGCAGCAGAGCGCAGGTGGGCACTCCTGCGACTTGAAAGCAGTCTTGGTGGCATCATATATATGTACCTCTGCCAGGCAGCCGGGCTCCCCCCTGCCCTTCAAAATCAGTTTTGACTGCAGTCTGTAGAAGAGCTCAGCAAGAATCATTCTAGCTCCCAGCAATGCTTACTGCTCTCCTTCCTCCATGCAGCTCATCTCATTTGCTGCCTCACGGTGTAGGTTGTATGCATTTAGAGCGCTATTTGGCACGTCGGCTTTAATTTGGCCAGACAAGACCTCAGGAAGCTAAAGCCAGGCTTTCTGGTCCTTGAGTCTGGTCTAACCCTTTAGCTTTTCTGATCACAGAGAGCCAAACAACAGTTATCTTGCCAAGTTCTTCCGAGCCACCTGAGACCAGTAAAACAACGTACCTCATATAAAAGGCCATTTTCCTGGAAGCAGAGACTTCATGGCATGATGAGCTTTTGGATCTAGTGAATGTGCCACCCTTCCATTT